ACAACAACAACAACAACAACGACAACAACAACAACAACAACAACAACATTATCGACCAGCATCAGTACAACCAATAAATCTTGTAAATCGTCAATATAATTCACCAATATCACTTTATTCAAATGGCAATGTTCAAGACATTATGAAAGATCATATTAGTCATATAACTCGTGTCAGGTAAATATAAGTATGCTAATATTTTCTTCCAGTTATATGAATCAGAGTGGCTTTACAATCGACTTTTAATGCAAGATTCTATTTAATGCCTATAGGAATTCAATATATATATATATATATATATATATATATATATATATATACTTAGAGAAACATGTTTTATTTATTACTGCTCGTAGCGACCTGGTTGTTCTTTTCTTTTCTACTAATACATATAGAAAAGAGAAAATAAGACATTCCACTCGAGTATTTACATAAATATGTATATGCATGTTAACTTAAATTGTTATTGAGTTAAGTAATAAAAAAAACGAAAACAAAAAAAATTAATTATTCTTTTTTTTCATATTTCATTTTTGATTTTAGTATCGTCCCAGCAATACCTAAGCAATCACACGGTAATTATGTAATTGGAGTATCACCATCATATAATACATATACAACAGCGAATACACCTATTTGTTATGTAAAACCAAAACAAAATCTCTATGGATCAGACTTTTAATATTAAGTGATGAATTATGTATTATGGATTTAGTATGCAACAAAAACAAAATAAGATATATCAATTTGTAGAATTAGTCTAAATAAAAGTTTTTCTTTTCTTATTTCTCTCTCTCTTTTGTTTTCCATTATTTGACCCATGGAGTTCTTTTTTTTCTTCTTAATATATATATATATTTTTTATTATCCTTCTATTGGGTTGAAATATCGAGTATAGTTTACCGAGTGACCTTCAGAATTTTTTTTTGGTTTTCGGTTTTTTATTTCATGTGTGCTTCACAGTAATGATTTAACAAGTTTTGTCCGTTGTTTGTTTTTGCACAGAACATGTTTTGATAATTAGCACATCAGAATAAGTTCATATTATTTATATCATGAAAAATTCAAAGAAAACAAATCTTTATTTAATAATTTGCAATTCTACAATTATAATAATTAGATTCTTAAACAATGTCGTATAGTTCTATCGATATATGGATAGTCGCAATATTCAGAAGGGATTTAACTATATAATTCATCATGAACAAATAATTTATGTTTCAAAAATCGTTCATAGAAAAATACATCGAGAAATAAATCTTGATTATATTTATATATAATGAATCAAGTGATTATTTGTATGAAAGAATCTGTCATTTCTTGTCTCGTTGTCTTATCATCATAATCAATATTTCAACAATAGATATTCGACTTATATATCGAGTGATCTTTTAATGAAATCTTTTGTCTTTCATACGAAATAACTTTATTTTAATAATTGTTTTAATTTTATCTATTTTATATGGAATTTCAGTAACTATTCATTATGATACTGCCAATACTGATCATTGTATTGTTGTTTCAATTATCTATTCAAATTATTTTTTATATGTAGACACTATTTTCTATATAGAATATTACTGATTTATTTTTTTGTTCAATTTAATACATTAACGATATTAATAAAAAATTATCAGTAATAGTTTTATTATCATGTTTCCATTTATTGTTTTCAATCTACTGATGAGTTTTTTAAATAGTTTTTCGATTGATCAAGTTGAATATTATTTTATAGAAATACCATCATCATAAGTCTTATACTTTGTATCAATAAAATATTATGGTATTTTTTCATACAATATAACTTTAAATATGTAATGTCTTAATGGATGCACACATCAAAACAACAAATACATAACTGATTCTTCCTTGTACATAAACTAGTTATACCTACTCTTTGATATAAAAGCTTTGTCACTCATCCAATGAATTATCACATAAACAAATACTTTAAAGTGTAACAATGACAGCTTCAATTAATGATGATTCAAATCGATTACTTAATAAGAAAATAATACTTTCGTAATTGGAGTAAATAGGCATACTATGAAATAAATAGATAAGATATTCTATGCTGAAGAATCTCTCATGTTGTTTCAAGTCGTTTAGATTTAATATTATTAAACTAGGTTAAGATCAAATACGTGTTGTAAAACTTAATATTATTGATAAGATAATTATTTAACAAGTCGTTAAAGCAACTTTCGATCAGTATCCTTCTTAATATGTAAGTTTAAACTTTAATATAAATATTTCAAAGAAGTTAATTTTGCTTCTAATTAGTAGCAGAACCAAAGATAGGCTCAGTCCACTTTGAAAGCTATGTTGAAGTAATCCATTATGTTTATTAGGATGGGTTCAAATCACCATAATATTAAATTCCTATTCTTAATGCAAGTCCATACTCAGCAAGTAAATTTGATATTATTCAATTAATTCTTATGTCACATCGACTAAGTCATTTCTTATCGATAGACTTTTGAGTTCATGAATATGGCAAAAAAAATGACACCATGAACAACTATTTTTTTTTACGTATATAGAAGATAAGACACATAAGAAATATCAAAAAAAAAGAATCTCTTGACTTTTTGTCTGTTGGTTAGTATCATAACTTAACCATATGCTATTGAAACATGTAAACGAACAGCACAAGTCTCATGTCATTTTGTCAGAATAAAGCAGAGATACAAAATCTATTCATCGTTGACAGTGATATTAATTGACTAATACGGTCTGTTGAAAATCCCTATAAAATGAAGAAAAAAAACAAACATGTCAATAAACACTTCTGTCTTTCGATCATCATAATTTGGGTATATAGAAGATAAGATGTCTGATACTTTTCACATATGGAATAATACTATATATTTTCTGTTTCATCTCAGAAAAGATTTGTTAGATTCTGTATTCTGATTTGGCGATAGTTTGTTTTTTTTACAATACTTATCTATGTCTGTCAAATTAGTACTTGTGTCTGTCGAAAACTATATTTCTTTCAACATCATTGGATGCTATGGGTACTTGACCGAATATAGAACGTTAATGAAAATAGATGTTCTTTTTGAGTATGTATCATAATAATAATAATTGTTTAGACTAAACTTGTCAAATAGAAATATTTAGTAAAATATAATTATCTTTGTCTTCTGAAATATGCTAAAATGATCTAGATGCTTTGTTTTCAAATTAGATTTTATGTTCTCATATGTAATGTACAGGATGTTCCAAAAGTCCTTATGAAAAGTTCGCGAAAATATTTCTTATATATTTCAAACGATTTAGTTACTTGTGTTTTTATAATATAATAGTATATTGTTTTAAGATTTATTTCATATAATTTGATTTACAAGAAATGTTTAAAATGATTGCCATTGAATTGAAATACATAAATTTACGCTTTTTGAAATCTTTATAAAATTTAATTTCATCTTGTAAATCTTCTTCATGAAGTTATTGAACAAATTTCAGCTTGTATGAAGTTTCATCAGATAATATTAACCCTTTAGATCCCATAGTATCAAAAAAGCTACACCTGTTTTATAATTATTTTACATAACATAATTTAGCCTGTTATTATTCGTGAAATTTTCCGTATCGACTTTTACAATACTTTGTATATATATGAGAAAAACATCATATAAATTTTTTTCTAATAGATCTGATTTATCTATATTAACATTAATATTGTTGAAAGTCAAAAACTTATTGACATCTACTATATAGATGTCGTTCATATGATTAAATCATTAGTAAAAAAAGTGAGAAAAATATTTTTCTTTTTTTTTTTTCCTACTAATCAAATATAAATAATTTTATTCTGTAATTAATTTTTTCAAAATCAAAAGAATTTTTTAAACTTAATTATTCAAACGAACATCCTAATCGAGTCAAATAGTCCAAGTTCTAACATGGCACTACACACAGTGACAACATATGATAATTAAAGAAAAAAAAAGAAAAGAAATTTCCTAACGGTAATAACAATATTATTCTATTGACATCTTTTACAATATCTATATAATAACGAAAAAAAAAGGAAAAGGAAAAGAAAATCAAGAATATTATTATTGTACAATGAACAGAAAAAAAAAATCTATTTCATCTCTTCTATCATCAATTTCATATTCTGGTCTTTATTCAATATCTACAAAAAAAAAAAAAATGAATTGAACAATAAACTAATATTGTTTTCTTTTTCCTTCTCTAGGTTTTTTTTGTTATTTTCTTCAATGTTTTGTGTGTTTTGTTATTTCAGACATCAGTCTTTGTGCTCGTTCTACCTACTGCTACATTTATTCGTGTGTGCAGTTCTTGTTCGATTTTCATTCCTACATATATATATATATAAATATATATTAGCGTTTGTTCGCTTCAATTTTCCCTTTTGTGCATTAATTACATTAACAAAATAAATTCATTATTATATATATACATACACACGCACACATACGCATTATGTAAGTATTTTATCAATCAAAAAAAGTCTTCGATGGCAATCGCAGTATAAAAAAGAAATAATTTCATTTAATAAGAATTAAAATTATTCGTTTTCTTTAATCTAGTTCATATTAAAAAAAAATGACGACAAGAAATTTGGATAATGAGTATGATCCATCTCGTATTGGTCAAATATCATCATCATCACCAACACGTGATAGTAGTTATATTGAACATTCAAATAATGGTCAAGGTGAAAATGGTTATACTAATGATATACATGATAGTCAAAATATAAATTTATCACAAACAGGTTATTCACAAGGTAGTGGGAGTGGTGGTACTAGTACATCGACTGGATTGAAACCTGAAGATGAAAGAAAATTATTTGTCGGTATGTTTGTTTGTTGTTTTTTTTTTGATAATTTTAAAAAAAGAAGAAGAAAAACAAAAATATTCTTTTTCAGGTGGTTTAACTTGGGATACAACACAAGAAGATTTACGTGAATATTTCTCTAGTTTTGGTAATGTTCTTGATTGTTCAATTAAACATGATCCATCAACAGGACGTAGTCGTGGTTTTGCTTTTCTTGTATTCGATTCAAAAGATATTGTTGAAAGAATACTTTCGCAAAATGATCATTTTGTTAAAGGACGAAGAGTTGATCCTAAACCAGCACATCGTCGTTTAAATACAATAAATAATATTACAAATAATAATAATAATATTAATAATCTATCATCACAATCTTCTTTATATGGTATTGGTTCATCATCAACAATGTCTTATTCTAATATGACTATGGGTATAGGTGCTAATTTAAATCCATATAGTAATAATCGTAAAGTATTTATTGGTGGTCTTGATCCAAGTTTTCCTGATTCACAATTACGGGAATACTTTTCAAAATTTGGTCAAATTGATGGTAAGAAATATTTTCTTACGAAAAAAAGAAAAAAAACAAGCCAAGATAGAATTATTTTTTTTTGTTTTACTATTTAGAAATTGATCTACCTTATGATAAAGAAAAAAATGAACGACGTCCATTCTGTTTTATTTCATTTCAAACTGAACAAGCAGCACAAGAAGTACTTCGATTACAACGACATACTATTGGTGATATAAGTGTTGATGTTAAACGTGCTAAACCAAAAACATTAAATAATCAACAACAACAACAATTACAACAACAAATGTATGATCCATATGGACAACAAACTACATATACAAATTATGGAGCTGGCGTACCATCCTATGGTCAAAGTGGTTATCCAACATCTGACGCGTAAGAAAATATTGATTTCTTTTATAATCATAACTAAACATTTTTTAAGAATCTATATCTCATTTGTGTAGATGTCTCTCTTTCATGTATCCGATCATATAGATAAAAAGAAAAAACTCTTTTGCCTGCATCTGAAGGCAGAAGTAATCTTCCTTCAATCTTGAAAAGTTTTCGTTTTACTCACCAAAATATACCAATGCTATGCAAATCCTGTCAATCGTAGCGAAAATATTCTGATCGAGCTCCTAAGTTATCGAACCCTTCTTCACATTCATATTGTATGTTACCTTATTCGATAGATCTTTAATATATTATATTACAAGTAAATAATAGTGCACTTGATGAAGGAAATTAATAGGCTTGATGGGTGGTATTGATAGTATATCATTTCTTTGAATATTACTGTATAGGCCAAAAATATTACCTATTATATTATTTGTGACTCACTTTGTATAAATATGAGCATTATTATCCAGTTGAGAAAACATTTGTTTTTTTTTATATTTCAAAATAAAAGATGATTTAGTTTTGAATCGTATTCAAGGCATTAATACGATAGATTATATATTCATATTGCTATGTATTTTATCGTATCCTTTATTTATACCTTGATGCTTTTATCTACCTCTGGATAAAAACAAAATGCTTAATACTGATTACTTTCATTTCATTAAAGAAAACATATTTAAATGTTGAAGAATATTTTATAAATTAATTATTTTTCTTTTCTAGCTATACTCATTGGAATGCTTATACATACAATCAACAGGCAAATCCTACAGCATATCCATATGGTAGTTCTGGTTCGACAAGTGCTCCTAGTCCAGGACCATCATCTTATTCTCAATATCCTGACCATCCATCAAGTTCTCAGTATTCATATACACCATCGAATACAGTAAATACAAATGATTATTATTCTCATTATGGCTACAGTGCTCCACAACCAACAGGTGTTTATGCTGATCCAAATGGTAAATTTTTCTTCCTTATTTCTTGTTTTTTTTTTAACTTATAACTTCATTTTCATTGTATAATATTTTATAGTCTATAGTACTGGTTATGATTATGGTTCATATTATCCATCAATGAATACAGGTATGAGTGGTACAATGGGTGATAATGGTACTGGACAACAATCAGGTAATTCACCGGGTAATCAAAATGATTATGAACACGACAATCATCATGGCAAAGCCAAAACTTCTATTGTTTCCAGTCCTACTTATCATCCATATTCTCGAAATTAGACAATTTTTAAACATCATATAGACACACACACACACACATACACATTAAAAAAACCGAAAATAAAAAGAAACTCGAAGTTTTTCCTTTCCTTTATATAACACACATACATACATACATCCCGTTGTTACACTTTATTTGTTTCGCTTATGGTTTTTTTCCTTTCGATCAATGCTTTTGATATATATATATGCGCGAGGTGAGAATGTATTTTTGTTTCGGAAAACTAAAAGAGAAATTTCTATATATATATATACACGCACACATATAAACAGACGTCCAAAAAAAAAAAATCATCATTATTGTTGTTGTTGTTGTTGTTTTCTTGTTCTCTCCACATGAACACCCGGTGTAAATAGGAAAACGTTTTCTTTTTGCCTTTTTCTTGTTGTTTTTCTTTTCTTTTTGTTTCTATCTCGCGTGTAATTATCAAACCGTCTAACTCTTGCTCTGCTTGTCCATACTGTACTATGTATGTGTGTGTTTTTAGCAAAACAAAAAAACTAATTTTTCAAGAACCGTAAGCGATAAAAGAAACGATAATAAAGCAAAAAAAGAAGAAGAAGAAGAAGAAACAAAAGAACCATAGTAAAAAAATAAAAAAGAAATAAAAATAAAAAGCAACAACAGACATTGATCTTTTTTTCTATTTGTTTTCTTCTTTGTTACTCGATTTTGTTTTTTCTTCTCGACTATTGATTAGATGATAAAAATACGTTGTTAATTATGATTGATCATTTCTTATTTTAGATAGTATCATTTGCTTTGTTCTTACACTGTGATCTTCAAAAGAAAGAAAAATTCAAAATTAAAGATATTTTATTTTTCAGATAAAGTTGATATTTGCCTTTTATCTCTTTGTTTTTAATATTAAATAATTATAATACATCTTAATGTAAGTATAAAATTAATATTGTTATTTATGTTTACTATGTAAAAGTCGTGTCTTCTTGATAATGGATATTTTTTCTTGACTAAAATTTTTATATTAACAGATTATATTCTTGCTACATACGACGATGCAAAAAGAAAGCTTAACAACAATGTATTTTTTCTATAATTTTTAATCAATTAGTTTAAATCCAACTAATAATTTTAATAGACAATGAAGTTGTCTTTTCATAGATGAACTATAATAGTAAGGTTTCTAAAAAGTCAGTTACGGTAGTTTCCACGTTCCAGAAAACTACGTTTTAACAATGCTATTTTAAAGAGCGTAACGTGAGGAGTCGCCACATTTTCTACAATCTTCCGTTAAAAACTTAAAAGTATCACAAAAATCGTACAAGAAACTAAATTTATCAAAAAACATCTTTTTTACGATTTTTGTGGTATTTTTAACTGCTCAAAAGGAGGTTGTAGAAAATACGGCGATCCCTCATTTTATACTCTTTAAAATCACATTGTTAAAATCATAGTTTCCGGAATCTGCAAACTACCGTGTCCAGCTTGTTTTAGAAACCTTACCATCATAGTTTATCTATGAAATCTTGCTAAAAGAAAACTCCATTGGCTATTAAAATCACTATCTGATTTGAGCTAATTACTTAGCATTATAGAAAAAAAAATACTTTGTTAATAAACTTTTTTTCTATCATTTTATATTGAGTATGCTTTATTTCATCCCTGATTTTGAATTATCAAATATATCCAAATGTTTGAGCCTGACTCAGATATATCCAAGAGTCAGAACTATAAATAATGATTCACTTTGATCAAGAACAATCTAAACAATGTTCAATACGTCCTAAATTAAAACAAAGCAAGAATATAGCTATGAATTCTTTGTTATCGGATACATCAAGATATTTAATGGCATACCCCTAGTCCGTCCCTTCTTAATTGTTTTCAAATTTGGCCTCTGGAGACCTTTCCAAATTTGTCTCTACTCTGGATTCGTCTTCCGATTAAATTAACGCTTAATTTTTATATATATGCATTACTAATATAATTTTATTGAGTATGAAAGACAATTTTTATCATAACATCAAAAAATAAGTATCAACATTTCTTCTTTGACAAGAATAAGAAAGAACACACAAAAAAAAAGGAAATCATACAATTATAAGAGAAAAATTTTAGTTAATATCTTGTCCATCAGAGAACGATTTTCGACAATTGTTCGAGAAGCAAATCAACATCATTATTTCGTTTTCTTCTCTTGCGTAGTTGTTAACTGTTAAATAAATTGGGGACAAATTTGGAAACAATTTTTGGGTTCTCAATTAAAAAGGGATCAAATTGAAGGTAACCCGATTCAATTATGTTGAATTAATAATTTTTTTTTCTGTATTTTTGTCGTTCTCTCTCCGATTATACTTTGTAGACATTTATTCTTAATTAATCAAAACGAGTTGTTCATTATAAAGCATTATTTAACATGAAAACATGAGAAAAAAAAATTTTTTTATTCTCACGCTTGTGAAAATCATATTCTTATTCATATCATTTTATTTTCTTTTAGTTAATTCTTTGTTTTTTTTTTGTCCTAAATAATAATGTCATCTATAACTTATGTAAACGGTGGTATTGCTTCAAATGATGATATATCAATTCCATCTATTCTTCCATCATCATCCGGAGCAATAATTCAACATCCATATTTAACATCAAATACAAATGCTGCTTATGCAGCTGTAGCTGTAGCAGCTGCTGCATCATCAGCATCACCATCATCATTAGGTCAATATCAACATTATTATAGTCACCAATTACCTCAACAACAACAACTTTTACATGTTCAACAAACATCCTCATTTTATCCAACAACAACAACAACAGCAACAATAAATCATCTTCAACATCATGGTGATTTTAGTAATTCATCATCATCTGCTGCGTCATCATCAAGTTCAATTGAATCATCACGTAAACCAACAAATCGTAAACGACCAACAGATAAAACAACAAAATCTAATGTCAAACGAAAACCAGTATGTTCATTTTTTTTAAAAGTCTCTCTAGAAAACACAAGAAATCTTTTTATTTTAGCCAAATAATGATGAAGATGAATTTGATGATGATGATGAAGAAAATAAATGTTATTTACGTGGTACATCTTTATCAAATACAATCATATCTAATAATAATAATAATAATAATAATCCAAATAATGGTACAATAGGTGACGAAGATAAAGAAAAACAAGCTCGTGAAAATCATTGTGAAATTGAACGTCGTCGTCGTGTTAAAATGGCTACATATTTTGCTGAATTATGTGATATGGTACCAGCATGTTCAAATTTAGCACGTAAACCTGATAAATTAACAATTTTACGTATGGCAGCACAATTTATGAAAACTTTACGTACAAATAATAATTCATTATCATTAAATTCAGCACAAATATCTCAACAACAAGATATACATAAACCATCATTTCTTAATGATAATGAATTAAAATATTTAATGGTTGAATCATGTGATGCATTTTTATTTGCACTTAATTGTGACAATTTACGTGTTATATATATAAGCGATGCTATACAACATATACTTTCATATACATGTCATGATTGGTATTCAAGATTTTTTTATGGTATGAAAAAAAAAGAACTTCAATTTGAATGATTTGTGGATTTTTTTTTTGTTTTTGTTTAGATTTTGTTCATCCGGATGATGTTGAAAAAGTACGTGAACAATTAAATTTACAAGCACAAGATGGAAGTCCAAATGGAAATGGTAATGGTAGAATTTTAGATCTTAAAACTGGAACGGTTAAAAAAGATGGACATTCTTCAGGTGCTCGATTAGGTAAGTTTGAGTTTATTTTAAATATTAAAATAAAATAAACATAAAAAATTGAATATCTCAAGAAAGACACGTTCATTTTCTTTGAAACTTTCAGGACGTTCTAATGACTAACAGATCTATCTATAGACAAAATTTCAAGTCAAAACTTTTTGTTCTATTTCTTTTTTTTTTTTTGGAAATGCCTTGCGCTAAGTAAATATAATCCAATAAAACGACCATAATCCTTCACTAATAGACCATAGGCACGAACATTTCTAGGATTTTCTTAATCTCATTAAGATCTAGTTAGAGTGAAAAAATGAAACTGAAAGCTCGGAATCAGTTGAAGCGATTCCCTTGTGAATAGATCCAAAACGATTTTAATAAGATATTTATTAATCTGAAAAATCAGTATATAAAGTCTTAAGAGAATGTTTCATGGTCATATTCTAAATCAGCATGTTTGATACCTTATAATTCATTAGGTTTTTTTTAACTGTCGTCATTCTTTAAATCACTTAAAAATACATCTATCGCATGAGCATAACTTTCTTGGATTATATTTATAAATTTTTTTTTTTTAGTTAGTTCAAAACGATCATTTATCTGTCGCCTTCGTGTTGGTTCAACTAATACACTTGATCATACACATCAAAATCCATTTATAAATCCATGTGTATTACGTCGTCGTCATCGTACATCTCTTGGTCCATCAATTGATGGTCATCTATATGAAGTCGTACATATAAGCGGTTATATTCGAAATTTAAATACTCATCATCATTCATCATCACATCATGATAATACAAATCATCATCCATCATCATCAAATTCTAATGGTCAAATGGCATTTATAGCTATAGCTCGTATACAAAATTCATGTTCACCAAATGTTAATGATTTAACAAATGGTTCAGTATCAACATATAATTCTATAACAACAGAATTTACATGTCGTTGTCATTGGGATACAGGTGAAATATTATTTGTTGATCAACGTTGTACACCAATAATTGGTTATAAAACTCATGAATTATTACATAAATTAATATATGAACAAATACATCCTGATGATCAAATTAAATTTCAAGATTTATATAAACGAACAGTAACACAAAAAAATTTATTAAATACATCAACAAATTTAACAAATATAATTATACGTTTTCGTACAAATATTGATAATGAATATGTATCACTTAAAACATCAACATATGCTTTTTGTAATCCATGTACAGATGATATTGAATTTATAATTGTGACATTTTTATCAATACAACCAACAACAACAACACCAACAACAACAACAAATAAAACATCTGTTATTACAAATTCAAATGATTATAATCGACAAACATATGATACATATTCAAGAGCAACAACAACAAATCAAAATTCATCTATTAATTATACATCTCAATCACCAACAACATATAATAATCAAGAAGGACAAGATTATTCAATAGGAAATGGAAATATTAATGGACGAACATTTGTAAGTAATAATGGAGGTTCAACATGGGCATCAGCTAATGATAATTGGACAACAACAACAACAACATCAGAAAATAATTCACAAGTATCATCAACACCAAATTCTGATTATGTTGATACACAAACAAATCTTGCACTTTATCATCAATATCATCAGTAATGATGTTTTGTTTGCTTTTTCTTTTATTGACATGAATAAATGAATTAAGATAACATCGAAGAATGTTCGTTTTTTTCTCTCTGTGTCTATTGTATATTTGTTGCATTCAGATAGTGGTTTTTGTTTTTTTTTTCTCTCATTATTATTATTGGTCTTTATTTTTCATTGTCTTGCTTTTATTCGAAAGTCTTTAATATATCTCTTATTGTTTTGTGCATTGTCATGATTTTTTTTTTGCCGCATTGCGACAAATCATTTTATATTTACATATTATCATTTTCTTTTTATTTGCAATAACTTTTCTTTATATGCTTTATGTTATTTTCTTCTTTATATCACGTCAAAAGGAAAAAAAATTAAATAAGTCAGTAGTCTCCAGTCATCAAAAATAAAAAATGATTTTTTTTGTTTTGTTTTTTGTTTTGTCATCTTATTTCTTAGATCTATCTTCTTTTTGTTTTTTCTTTTTTTCGTCTTGTACACATTTACATACATCTGTATAACCAATCAATAATAAATAAATAAAAAATAGAGAAAAAAAAGAGAAAAGAAATTCATTTAAAAAATTCCATCAATATATCTTGCTAGCTTCTATTGGCCTTGAGCATATTCTAGATACGTTTAAATATGAAATATATAATATTGTATTTATTTATTTATTTATTAACATTTTATACTAAAACAGTAAGTCATGAAAAAATAATTATTTTAATTTTTGACATCAATGCTTGCATCATATTAAATACAAAGAAGAGAAAAAAAAAGCATGGACACGTGTATCATAAAGGACTTGTAGTTAAAATATGATTTTAGAGGACACCTGTTCTATGTTTAATTTCTGTTTGATCGTTCGCGATTGTTTTTTATCGCCGTTTTTTTTCTTTCAAAGAGTATGCGTAACAAGTCATGCGTTTCAGAGGATCGTATATGATTTATAATGTTGACTATCGAACGAAAAGATACATATTTCGTTTAATTTTAACATATGAGAATAATCATTAAGTTTTTTATTTAAATTATTTAATGGCATTTAATGTATCGTCGCAGTCGTCGTATATTCTATAGTAGTATTTTTCGATTAAATTTATATCGAGTCTTACGAAATTGTTTTATTTTAATATTTTTTTCATGTTTATTTGTACAATATTTATTTATAAAATTATTCAATGAAAATCATATTTCAGCACCGAATTCTACTCGTCTATATAAAAGTTTACCATTAACAATAAATCTTCGTCCATTTCATGTTTGTCATCCAAAAGAACTACATTTAGAAAATTTAACATTACAATATCATCATAGATATCCTGATAAACAAAAACAAGTATGCTTTCTTATTCAACATCTCGGTGGTGGACCATGGTTGTCATATGTAACACATGAATTTGCTGAAATTCTTACTTATTTACAACAAATTGGTCTTAAATCCAATATAATATATCGACCATTTCCTAAACTAGTATATAGAGGTCGTAGAACAAATTTAATAAAATATTTTTTAAATGCTTGTGATATGGATGAAAATCTTTCAATAGAAAATCAAATGCCAATAATAGTTCTTCTTTGGGATATAAATCGTCCTCCATGGTATCAATTACGTCAACAAGTGGAATATTTGTTAAACAAAACTCGAATACGTCTAATGGCATTTGTAGATGATCTTCATTTTCTAAGCAGAGGAATGTGGCTTAGTAGAGAATATCTTTTTCAATCTGTTGTATCAGAAATTTTTTCAACATATCCATATCTTTTTGATAATTATTATACTAATATATCATCAAAAAAAATTACTTGGTTACCACATGCAGCTTCAACATTATCACAGGTTTCATTAAATAAATCTGCTAAAAATGTTCTTTTTGTCTCAGGTGCAAATCTTGTGGAATGGTATCCATGTCGTGCTCGTGCATTTCAACTGTGTAATACTCGAAAAGATTTAGTATCTTGTTTAGAACATCCTGGTTATGGTATAACAATGAAAAAGGATAATTCATATTATTATGGTGGTGAAAGATATTTTTCATATATGAGACAATATGTATTCGGTCTTGGTACATGTCAATCAGTTCATTATGCTATAGCAAAATTATTTGAAATACCAGCTAATGGTCTTGCACTTGTAACAACAAATGATTTAGTAGATATACTTAAAAGTCTTTATCTTTATCCTAATCAACATTTTTTAACAATTGATTGTTCATCATCAAAAAATTTAACTAATGAATTAATTCGTATACAAAATATATCAAAAGAAATGATATATCAAATAAGAAAAAATAGTCAAAAAATAATTCATGAACGTCATTTAACAAAACATCGAGCTGCATTATTACATGTTCGTTTATTATCTCAAGCATTAATTGCTTCTTCAACTTCTGATGCTGAACGCATGCAATGGGAACAATGGGGACGTAATTGTCATTAGTTATCGAATATAGGAAAAATAAAAATGAAAAAAAAAAGGAATAGATGTCTTTTTTTCTTCTATTGTTTACATGAATAGATTCGACTTTCAGTTATTTCTTTTTTCTTTCATTTGTTTTTATCTTTTATGAAGGCATCATGTTTACATAAAGGAATGAAAGAATAGCTAACGAATTATAGATAGTGATGGCATAGAAGTAAAAGTAGGAGAGAGTATTTTCGAATTAAAAGGAGAACGATTCAATACAAAATCATTTAATACGTAAGACTAGAAAAATCTCTAGTGCAAATATCTAACATAGAAATGGATTACACTAACTCAATCTCCGTATGATGTTTCTAGCAGCGTCATCTATATCCTCTCCTTCTTCTAGTTGTCTTTAAGATACCACTAATGCAAAACTCGAGCGAGTGTTTTTCTCTTTCATTCATATATATATTGTTTTAATGCAGCTTGACGAAATGGTTACGCATATATACTTTTTATTTAGATTGGACCACTATTCGACTCAAAAAAACCATAAAAAACTTCGAATGACTGGTAATGTATTGGAAATTATGAATATGTTTTTTTTTTCTTGTTTTACAGAAATCGTCAAATTGCAATTACAATGTCTTTTAAAACTTTATGAAAACATTTTTTATTTTGATTTAACATTAAAAACTAAGTAGCAATGTATTATTTGATTATATTTAGAGGTAATAAGCTTAAAACAGTTCCATTCAATATAGATAACTGAAACATGCCTCATAACATCTATTTGTGAATATTCTTGTAAATCTATCTAGTATTTTGTAACAAAAGATAGAAGAAAGTGTCTTATTTCATTAGAATCGTCAGCTACAAAAATATCTATTTAGTTTTTTTATATTTTGATTAATTGTTGAGAAAATTAAATTTTTTTCTCATTTAATATTAATATTAGATAAAAGAACAAAAAATGCGTTTGTATTTAGTGATTTTTATTGTCCTATTCTAGTTAAAAAGCAAAATAGATAACATATTCAGAATTGGCGTCAAGAACTGCATCGAATTAAATATATTTTAACAATGTTTTTTTTTTCTGCAAACAACTGACCCTTGGAGGACTAAGAGCGAAATTTCTAAAAAATAGACTTGAGAGAGATCACAGGTATATTTTCTATCGATAACAGTTTTTACTAAAATATACATAATTCAAAGCAGTTTCTGACGTTAATTCTGAATATTCTATCTATTTCGTGTTGTAACTAGACCATGAGAATAGAAATCACTAAATACAAATACATTTTTCATTCTTTTGTCTAATATTACTTTCAAATGAGAAAAAAATTCAATTTTCTAAACAATTAATCAAAATATAAAAAAACTAAATAGATATTTTTTGTAGCTGGCGGTTCTAATCAAATAAGATACTTTCTTCGATCTTTTGTTACAAAATACTAGATAGATTTACAAGAATATTCACAAATAGATGTTATGAGGCATGTTCCAGTTATCCATATTGAATGGGACTGTTTTAAGCTTATTACCTCTAAATATAATCAAATAATACTTTGCTACTTAGTTTTTAATGCTGAATAAAAATAAAATGTTTAGACAATGTAATTGCAATTTGACGATTTTTGTAAAACAAGAAAAAAAACATGTTCATAATTTCCAATACATTATCAGTAATTCGAACTTTTTTATGATTTTTTCGGTCAAAAAGTGGTCCAATCGAAATTCGTTACTCTCGAACACTTTTATATTGATAGCTTGAGTTCTGAAATGATAAGTTAAATCATGCGGTCTAACCTATTAAAATATAGACAAAATGTTGCTGTACAAAATGAGACGTCCCCAAGCTCTGTGCTTCAATTATTCTAATTTTGATTTGCATTATAAAAAAAAAATGTCTCAGCCAAGTCGATGTTCAGTTTGTAAAGTTCTCATAAAAATCAAAAGAGTTGTTGCACAGAGTTTGGATACACCTCATCTAAAAGAGTAACGTTTTCTCCATCTTTTGATAGTCTAACTTGCATGATTTAACCATTTATTTCATGAGTGAAACTGTTGATATAAAATGCTCGAGTATAATGCAAAAAAAGCTCGATACATGCCTATGCGTAACCAGTTTGTCAAGCTCTATCGAACCGTATATTGATGCAAGAGAACAAAATGCACTCATATTTTGTATTCTAACAGTGCATTACATTTATTTATGTTTGATGATTTATTATTTTTTTTCTGTAGCTTCTATCGAGCTGATTTACTTTGATTATAAGTATTTATTTTTTTATTTGTTAGTTGGCAGATTTGATTCAGTGTTTCCACGCTGTATCCAACATACATGTCTTCACTTCTTGATTTAATCTACTGCGTTCCTCAAACTTTTTTATTCCTCTTATCTAATATATTCAGTTTAATATATTAATGAATCTTTATTTAATTTTATCATTTTTCATTTTACTGTAGTAACCGAAATAGTATTAAGTTGTATTTGATCTTTTCCCTTCGAGATCAAACTATTTCTCATTAAAATATTCCTTAATCAAACTGATTTATCATCGTATGATTTGTCCTAATTTTCGATGACAAAATCATAAATATGTGA